TTGTAGATCTCGCCGTCCTCTACAAGAAAGGTCCTATACAATTTTCCCGTAGAATCAACGGTTTAGAAGTTATTGAAGAAAAACGAAAATTTTTTCCAAAAGTTGGCTGTATCGACGGTGGAATGGTCGGATTTCGTCAATGCCAATAAAATGCCAAATAATCATACGTAACTCGTTAAATATCGAAGTTAGAAGAAAACAACTTTTATTTGAAGCATTTTTCGCAATTTTGAAAAAAAAATTTCATCAGCGTCAATACTTAATTGGATATTTCCTTCTATTCTTTTTAGCACGTAGCCATTTATTATTAGCATTAGTCTTCCGACGTCTGATTTGTTTTTAATTATAGGAAATGCATTTTTCCAAAGTACATAAACTTTTGGAATTGACTGTATAGCCAATACATCCTTAAACAAAGCGATAACGTCTTCTTATTTTTCGCTCAACAACACTTTTATTTGTCTTTCACGCCAATTATCCAACGTCGCTAACTGTGTAGCCTTTGCAAAAGATCCTGCTAGCCGTACAGCGTTACATGTATCTCAATAAAATGGCTACTACTTATTGATTTAACTGATTGATATACGTTCTGTATTGTGCTTCACAATCGCCTGGGACTTATTACAAGTTTTTTTACAATGAATGAATTACATGAAGACACGAGGGAATTTTAGGAATGCGACAGCTGTACGAATGGTTGTTACTCACCTTGATGAAGCAGTCGTTGAAAGATAGGTTGTGCCTGAGTGAGTTTTGCCATCTGCGAGTGTCCTTCCTGTAATATGGGAACCGATCCGCGATGAACTTGTAGATCTCGGCAAGGGGCAGCATTTTGTCCCTCGACGACCAGATCGCCATCGCTGTCAGCGAGATATATGAATAGGGAGGCTTCTGGTCGCCGTAAGTGTCCCTCGACGGTCGAGGCATTTTCTTATTCTTATTACTTCGCGATTACTTTCTCACCCCTTTCAGCCTTCATTGACCGTCGCTCACATCTTTCTCTCGCATCACCACTTCTCTCTTATCGGTCTCCACTGTGCTTTGGCTGATGTATTATTTTGTATCGATCAAATTCATTTTATACTGCATGATCCCTTCTGGATTCTTGGCCATGCTAATCTGAAACATAAATTATTCTATTTGATTTATTGCTGTTTTTGATGAACGACGTATACTTATCGCAATATTTGTTATAAAGGGTGGTCCTTTTAAGGATGTATAGGCCATGTACTTAAACAATGCT